TCTAGGGTTAAGACACCAGACTCAATGACACCCCCCTCCCATCTGTTTTGCTATGTGCTCCTCGACTACAGCTAAAGATATGGCTCTTTGTGTGCTTATTCCATTTGTAATTTAATGTTTTTCCTTTAAAAAATCCAAATGAAGATTTATGATACCTTTGTCAGATTGATGGTTTTCCACATTGCCCTAGCAATACAGCAGACTACAAAAGCTGTTTATTGTTTTCTTGACTCAGGATTGTATTTTATTTAACTTGGAAATCTCAAATCTCAACTGCGTGTTAGAAACAACACAGACCGCAAAGCCTGACTTTGATAAAAATCCCATCTATTAACATTACCACAGGACCACAACAGGGGGCCAGTATCTGGATCACACATGCTGACTAGTGGTTTATGTATCATCATCATCATCTTATAAACCACACTTTGCAAACTCTGGACCTGATTCCGCAAGGTGCGGAGTGCTCTTACTGCAGGAAATGGGGGCTCTCGGTTTCACACAAGACCTTTACTATACACCTCATAGCATCTGGCTCCAGACAAGCAAACATTCTGTAGATTTCATATTGAAGAAACAAAGCTTTTGACAAGGAGCCACTTTGGGTCAGGGACGGAGCCTTCTGAAGTCAAAATGTCACTTGAAAAACGTGAGACTATTGCACAGCTCTGCTTTCATCTCAGTTTGTTTTTCCATTTTCTTTGGTGCGGAAACATTCGTTACATTATGAAATGATGGTGAAGAAAACTAATTAAACATTAAAAATTGCCTACTGCCATAAAATAGGGCTATGGCCTGATATCCCACCCATATAAACCAGGAATATCTGCCCTGCAGTCAGTTATTACATTATGTAACACTGGTATAAGATCACAATCAGTCCATATGTTTCTTGTTACTCACAGGCCTTCCCCTGAAAATTGCTGAGCCTTTGCAGCTCCCCTTGGACAGTCTTACCCAGTTTTCAGCATCTACAGAGCTGGCTGTGGTCCAGGATCCGAACAGCAGGGAATGAAAGCAAAGGAAAACAGGGGAATCCTCTGGTTTGCAATGCAGATGCATATCAAAAACCAAATCCAGATGGTTTAAAAGCTGTGAGCAAACACAAACTTTAACCCCCTCTCTCCTCAGTCTCATATTTCATCATTATGCTTAAGTGCACCCCTATCTTCTGATTGTTTTCCTTAGGTTCAGGCATGATTTAAAATGTTATATATAGACTAATAGATGACCCGAAGAGCTGACTCCCTAGGCTATAGACTAAGGACATACTCATACATACAGACACAAAAGTAAACATTTTAGCTCCAAACTGCTAAGTAGTTTTCACATTTCACTATGATTAACCCTGACTACAAGAATCCTGTCTGCAGGGTATCCTTAAATTCAGTAGAAATGCAGAAGTCAACATCTATATAATAGATTTACACAACAAATACGTCCTCATTAGGGGGAAAAAAAGGTGTTAGTTTTCTAGACACACTCTAGAGCCAGATTCTCAGATAGTGGGGCTCTACACACCATTAGTGAGCTGTCTCAAGGAGCGTAGTCTATCTGCAGGAACAACCAGGATTCCTGTGGCACTACAGAAGCTAACAGATTCAGTAGGGGATAAGCTTTTCTGGATAAAACACAATTCAATCTGTCAGTCTCTAAGGGTATGTCCTTCGGAATAATGTCAACAAAATGTGCATCTACCCTACAAGCCTTTATTTTGAAACAATATCGAGCAGGATGACTTCTTACACCAACTCATGGTAACCCTCATTTTATGAGGAGTAAGGGAAGTCGAAGGCAGAGTGTTCTTCCTTTGACTTCCTGTTGTGTAGACAGTGCCAAAAACCTGAATTGAGTTATTTAAACTTCAGCTATACAATTGACGTAGCTGAAGTTGCGTAGCTTATTCTGACTTTAGCTCTGCTGCATCGACGTGCCCTAACATTCCACAGGACTCCTCGTTTTTTCATTAGTGAGCAGTTAGTATGCTGGTATGTGCCTATTAATTGCACAAAAACTGCTCCCAAAGACAGAGGACATGAAGCATTGTGATGAATGGTTATGCCTTGAATTTAAACTGTATTGCTTCTGAGCCAGGGAACATGCTTTTATACACATTTTATATTCCTCATTAATGTGTGTAAAACGAAGTACAAAGCCTGAAAGCATGAGTCAGTGCCCAGTGGAAATGCTAAATACCAACCATTTCACGTGCATTAAGATGCCTTATTAAAGGAGGGAAAAAAGATCTTTTAGGAGTGTTTGATCTAATCTGTTAGAAGGACAATTATGTTGGGAGTGGGTAGAAGGAAATGTTTATCTTCAACACTTTTATAATCATCCCTTCTCCAGAATGAACAGAAAGTGAGAAATTAGAGCAGCTGCATGTGTTTCAGCAGTTCCTGATTAGTTGGTGTTTGTAAAGCTGTTTGAAGATGCAAATCTCTTTACAAAGTGCTAAGTAGAGTTATTAATTATATCCTTGGGGAATAGCATTATTTATAGAAATACATTCTTACTCATGTCTGGTATTGTTCCCATAGTGCACATTGATAATATTTTCAGAGGGGTAGAGGAGTTACTCTGTAACAGGAAAAACTTAAAAACTAATAAATAGTCTAAGTTGCACCATAAAAACTAACAAAACATGTAGATGGTATCATGAGCTTTCCTGGGCACAACCCACTTCTTCAGATGACAGGAGTGATAATATTGTCATTCAAATCCAGTTTCGGTAACCCTGGTGCTCTGCTACCAAACAGACACATTCTTTCACTGGTAGCTGATTAGAAACTGATGCAAATCACTGAGATCAGAGGAAATGAGGAGGCCTCAGTTTTTAAGAATTCCATCTCAGACCTGGGAGGCTGTCCCCCCAAACATGCCTGGCATCGCGTTTGCTAGCCTCTTCGATTTGTTGTGAAAAATCTCCTAGGCCAGAAGCCTGGAGACATGGCCTACTGCTCTCCTGAGAGAGGGAGTTGTCTCCTCCTCGAATCTGTAATAACCTCACCAGATAAGGGGAACAGTATACACATCATGCCTCCTATTCTTCTCCAAGCAGGTCAGCAGCCAAAATGTTCTGCTTCAAGGGATAAGAGGAAGAGGGAAATACATCTCCCTCCTCTAATGAGGACTCAATGTGCATCAGTATGTAAATACCAAGCCAGATGTGGCTATTAAATCATAGCCTTATGCTGGAAGCAGAATTAAATTCCTCCTCATGCCCCCAAAGAAAGAGGCACAATACCTGCCTGAGCACCGGAGTGTTCTGTTCCTGCCACCCCTTAGTATACAGCATGCATCCTGCCCTTCAGCTGTGGAATGGGCGGAAAAGAAGAGGGTATTTCCTTCCAGGTCTGTTTGCAGGTAGCTTGCATCAAGGTGGCGCTCACAGGGTACTCCAAGTATAGTGGTGATGTTATAGGTTCAGAATGCATGGCATGTGGATTTAAAGCTGTTTCAGAGATTAGATAAAATAAATGTCCCCTTATAAACTTGAATAGCACTAGTGCTGTGTAGGTGTGAAATCAGCACTCCTTCCACTTCCGCCATGCTTTTGAATTAAAAACAGGAGTCGTGTACCCTGATGGTGTGCACCTCATTCCCAATTAACTTAACATACAGATATATTAGTGTTTAGTCAGCATTGTTGTACACTGCCCTTTGCATACCGTTTTGGCATTGCACTGTATACAAGCCAATCGCTGTGCTCTCGTAAACCAGCTACCAACCACAGAGGATTATTAGTCAGCTGCCTTCCTAGGAAAGGGGAATTGAAGGAAATACATTTAGATTTGTATATCAAACATTTGAGCATGAAGATTAAATCTGTGAAATGAGGAAGAACTTGAAACTCCAATGCCTGCCTCTCCATAAACACACTCAATACACATCTACAACCAAAGAAAGGGAGAGAGAAGCTAATCCATTCATGGTTCTCTGCAACATGTGCAAGGGCTGCAGACATAATTTTTGCAGCCCCCATTACATCTTTCAGGCCCACTGCTCCCCTTAAAGGCACTGCTTCGTTTGTAATGAAAAAAGTGCCAGAGCTCAAGCAGGTTTTTTTAACTTTCTAACTGTCATGGCAAGCCCAGAGGTGTCAGGGCTATGAACTGCCAAGTCTCGAGGTGCCAAGGCTGAGCCCTGGCACAAATTAAGCGGCCCTTAAAGTATTTGCCTCTGTTCTCTTACCTAGTCTCCCTGGTGTTATTTCACCCAATTGTTTTCACCCTTTGTTTCTCTTCTCTCGCCCTGTTTTTGTTGCAATCCCATTGCCACTCTCCAGTTTCAGGGCTTCTCTTCTCACCTTTTTTCTGCACGTTCCCCCTTTGTGCACTTGTCAGGACAACTATCCCAACTTTCCTACCTTGCAAGGATGGGCTTGGTATCTGATTTCTGGTTGTGTATCCAGATTTAATCAAAACCAATGGAATGTTAGGATGACTGGTCTGCGTTTGGCACACTAGAATTAGCAGGGCTCGCCAGTTGCGCGGTTCGGGACGCTGCGCATGCACTGACCGCGCTGTGTGACTGTGCCAGCTTGTAATCAACTCACTACGGGCGAGTAGATTACATTAATTGTCGAGCCCTGAGAATTAGGATTCGTCTACACTAGGGATGCAAAAGTGTAATCGTTTATATGGTTAACTGTTAAGCCTCAGCTTATCAGTTTCTCTTACAGATACACACTGGCTCCCCAAGATGGGCTCTTCATTATAACTTTTGTATTGTAGAGTGCACAGTAAAGCCTCCCTAGGACTGGGGTTGGCAGTACTGCGGAGGCTTCACTGTGGGCTCTGCAGTATAAACCTTATATAAAAGCTTGTAACCATGTTGGATTTTAACGGTTACACGGTTACATTTTTAAATGATATTTTATATCCCTGGTGTAACAGAGTCCAGGGACCGCTCCAGGGTCCACTCCACACCGTATTCCCTGCTCTGTCCCTGCAGATGACTATGGATGCCTTGGTGGAGCTCAAGAGGAGACCCTGTAACATGAACCCAGTAGAGGAAATGGAAGATGCAGTAAGAGACTCAAACCATACCATAGCCAGGAGCGCTGCAAGGTTTTAGTCAGTTCCACCAGGAGAGTACAGATCAGTCTGTTACTGAAAGAGAAGGGGACTCAGGTAAGTGTGTACATCCATTATTCCTTGCTTTTCCTTTCCCTCAAATCTTGTCTTTCTCCCCATGCCTTCCTCCCATGTATCTTGGTTTCCCCGTGTAAAAGTGGAATCCGGCCCACTCGCTTGTTGAGACAAAAGTATTGACTTTTCATTGCTCTCCTGGTTTAGTATTAAAAATAAGTCAGGGAACAAATTCTAAGAAGAATGATAGGGCAGGCCAGTTACACAACCCAAATCAGGTTAGTGTCTTGAAACAGGTGGAGTACTCTGCTTATCTGAATAGGGCTGCACCTTTTATCCTCCTGAGAATGGAAATCTTTATGAATTCATGGAAACACTCTGCAGTCCTCTCACGAAGACTGGCAGAATGGCAGCCTGGTAATCCTTTCACAATGACAAGACACTTGCCCACACCACTCTGCCATGAGTTTTCCTGGCACCATTGTGGTAAAGTCACTACAGGTTGCCCCTCTATAAACTGGAACTCTCTGGTTTGGCAACATTGGATCACAGATATGGCTGGACCAGAGAGTCCAGGTAAACTGTGAGGGGTGGGAAGCGTGAGGGGTGGGAAGCCTGTGCAATGTAGGGGGTGAGGGATGGTGCATGGCTCCGCTGGTCTGCTGGGGAGGGTGGGGGAATGGTAGGGAGCCAGGAAGCCCATTACAGGGGCAGGACAAGGAATGGGGCTGCCAGCAGGGGGGCCAGAAATGATCTCCCCTGGTCCAGAAAGATCCCTCAGCTGGGACCAGTCAGGCCCTGAAAGTGCTGGGTCAGGGAGGTCCAACCTGTAGTGGCATCCAGGTCTGGGAGAGCTTTGGGATGCCAGCAACTGTATTGTTTGTTCCTTAGACATCCTCAGAAGTGAGAGATCAGCTGAAATCACCCCTGAGTGTGAAAACAGCCTGTAATAAGTCATTTCTGTTGCCTGACCACTCTGAAGAGGATGGACAGGAGAAGGTAATTTGCAGCATTTCTTCATATGGGAGATCCTCCACTAATGTTTAACTTCTGAAGGGTTTGTCTTCAAAAGCCATGTGTTTTCATTGCCTTGAGAATCTATTTTGGGTAACCCTATCTGTAGAAAACTGTCTTTTGTTGCTGTTTACTGCTCTTAGAATTATATTTATACTAAGCAGGGATCTACCAAAGAGGCCAGAGCTGGCCGCACCAAAAGCCTTTCTATTTATGTGGTCTCTGGTTCCCTAGCAGCACCGCTCTATTGGAGCCATGCTAAGAGCGATTCCCCCTGGTGAGCCTGTAAGAGGTAGAGACCATATAGCCCATTTTGTAGTGGGCAATTTCTCCTCCCCACCACCTGTCCCTTGATTCAGCCTGCTTACTCCTTCCCTGGCCTGCCCAGAGACTCTTCACTCCCTCTACCAGCATTGGCTTGAGAGCCACAGATACAGGTTCTGGTGGAAGGAGAGAGAGCACTGCAGAGGTAGCTGACACTCTATGTCAGGAGAGATGTAAGCAGAGTGTCTTTCCACGTATACTGATTTGGAAATGACAACCGGGCTAAGACGTCTCAGTGGTTTATGATGAAATTAGGGATAAAACTAGATTAAAAAGAAAAATTGCCAAATGAGATTTTAAAACCAGACAGAGTTTCTAAATTCTTGAGATCGAAAGATAGCAAGTTCCATAAATAAGGGTCCAACGCCAAACTCTAGGCACAGTAGGAATTTAACCCTTAGAATGCTGGCTTTTTCCATACTGCCTAGGGCTCCCCATCACCCTGGAGTGCAGGGAAGGGGGCCAGAGGCCTTGATTCTGGTTTCTGTGCTGACAAGTCTACACTGCAACCCTGTCAACTAATAGACCTTCTGTTCTACCTGCTGGATGGGAGTCATATCTACCTACGGATGGGAGTGCAGGACCAGTGACTCCCCACACCTTTGTGACACCCAGTACAAGGTAGTATGGTCACCCTTCCTAGGGCCAACCCCTGCTTAGACTTAAAGAACAAACAAGGCTATTTACAAGTTGTTAAGTTGATCACCCACACGTTAAGGCTTCCAGAGCACCTTTGATGGCTCTCATTAGCACATTTAAAACCATAAACAATCTCATACTTCATATCTCTGAGTCTAGCTTGACATACAAGAATGAAACATGCACCAAAATAAGATTCTCAGACCTAGCAGATTGTAACATTAAAATTGAGAGGTTACATGATATATTTTGTCAAAAGCACCTTCATATTCATAAGCTAGTTTCATAAAGCATGGGGGGAGGAACTATTAACTTCTAGAATGTAAATGTATACTCAGTCTGCAAGGAGTCAAATTCAAGGATGAAGCAGATCAGAGTACTGTGAGGGCTGCTGTGAGCATTAGTTGAGAACTGGAAAGAGACTAGGGAGCAGGAAAATCAGAAATAAATGAAGGACCAGTCCAGGACATTTCTTAGAAGACATAAAGTAGGACATTAAAGTCCACATAAAATCTTGCTAAAAGCCAATACAGTGGAGGTGCTAAGTTCACCCAGACCTACTCTAAAATCTAGCAGCTGAATTCTGAATAAACTCAAATTTAGAGATCAGTGTGGAAGAGTCAAAGAAGGAAAGATGTAGTAATCAACTGATATAAAATCCTTAATTAAAACCAACCAGTTAACTCTGATAGGATAAATTTCCTGACAATATTCTTGAGATGAGGATCTATCAGTCAGGTCTGATTATAAAACTTTCACTATCCAAGACAGTTGCACTAGTTTAACTAAAATCAGTTTTTAAATCAGGTTAAATTGCTGCAAACCCCTATGTGGATGCTCTTATTTCAATTTAGGGGCTTGTTTCCATACACAAGGGCTGCAACTAGATTGGCATGATTTTCTGGAAATGCTTTTAATGGAAAAGTTTTCCGTTAAAAGCATTTTTGGAACAGAGCGTCTAGATTGGCATGGGCGCTTTTCCTCAAAAACACATGCTAATCTAGACATGCTTTTCCGCAAAAAAGTCCCGATCACCATTTTTGCGATCGGGGCTTTTTTGCGGAAAATAAATCTGAGCTGTCTACACTGGCCCTTTTGCGCAAAAGCTTTGCGCAAAAGGGACTTTTGCCTGAACGGGAGCAGAATATTATTTCTGCAAGAAGCACTGATTTCTTACAGTAGGAAGTCAGTGCTTTTGTGGAAATTCAAGCAGCCAGTGTAGACAGCTGGCAAGTTTTTCCGGAAAAGCGGCTGATTTTCCGGAAAAATTGGCCAGTCTAGACACAGCCAAATTGTACATTAACTATACTTCCATTCAAGAAGGGGAATAAGCAATGCAGATATATAGGCCACTTTGATATTGGCATGATTACATCCACACACTAGAACTGTTGTCTTTTGTATAATTATTTTGATTAAGAAAAACACTTCTAATAAAAATTATACACAAAAGTATGTGTAGACCAAGCCTAAGAATAGTTTAGTTCAGCGTAGCTTAAACCAATTTGCTAACTGACTGATGCTAAATCAAAATAAACTTGGTTTAAATTGAAATAAGTGCTATGCTAATATTGCATTGACTTAAAAGTTTAAAATCACATCTTTAGTTAAGAATCAGTGCAACAGCCTCATGGCGTAATATTATAGACATATTTAACAGAGAAAAAAACAATATTACAGACTTCAAATGGAAATATTACAAGGGCATGAAATAAAACTGTCTAATTTCTAATGACACTTTATTTTCAAAAGTTATTCAGCACCCAAATATTTATAGTGCTTAATATCATGCAAAATATGTATAAAATATAATATTATACAAAAACACGTATAAAATATTCTCATTGTTCCTTCTCAATAGGCCCTGTGAAAGTTAGTACAAAAAAACTTCCCTCCCACTACAAGCAATTTTTAAGAGTATGACACAATGGCCTGTTAATTCCCTCAAGTACCAGAAACTCCTTTTAAGGTAGCAACCCTGTACCTAAATACCTTAAGAGGCTGTACTGGAGTGGTAAACCTGCAGGATTTCATCACAAGACGAGGACCATTCATCAGGATTTAATTTATATACATTTTAATTGCCTTGGGAATCTATTTTCCCTTTGAATAATGCTGTCCTTGGAAAATTATCATTTGTTTCTGGCAGACTGAATCATAGATAGATATAGATATATATAGATGTAGAGATTTATCCTAGCTAGTATAAAACATCTCACCAGATCCCTCTACATAGGATTTTGAGTCTTCCCCTTTTTACTGCTTGGCACAATTCAGGGAATCAAAAAGAATCTTCCCCAGGCCTCTATTTCTGTTCCAAGCATTCTCCATTAATCTCTTGTGCAGGGATTTTTTTTTTAAATCAATTAAATAAGATTACATTGAAGTTCATACACAAAAGTAAATTTCCCAAGTCAGGCATGCAAAAGCTAACATTCCCAGCTCCACAAGGTGGTCTTGCTTTGCCTGGGAGGTCAGCCTCAACACACATAATTCATATTTCAGATATCTTCAAACATTCACATGTTTTGACTAAGTTGTTGACAGAATGTAATGCTTAACTGCTCCCCTGGATTGTTAAAGAAGGCTTCTTTGAAAGGAATGGTGTCAGGTTAAACAGCATGTTTTTTTAAAAAAAACCTGTTTTATTAGATTATTAAAAGTGAATAACTTTTGAAAGTCTAATTTATTTCTTTATTATTTATTTTGTGTTTACTTTTTACATTTCACTTAGCTTGTGCTGTGAAATTTTATTTTTTATTTTTGCTTCTAGTTTAATTTTGCTTCTAGTCTTTCACTTCTGGTTGGCACACAAAGTACACAATGTTGCAATGTGTTGCCTTAGCACAGCAAGAAAATGTTTAAATCCAACGAAAATGTCTGTTGTCACTGGGATAAAATAAATAAAAGGAAATACTTCTATTGTCCAAGGATTTTACCAAACCTACATAAAGCCCCTAAATCAACTGGACAGTTTCCTTCTAAGCATACTTGATTGCTGAAAGTTATTACTTCGTTACTATGAAACCCTCAGAAACTGGCCTTCACTAAAGAAAACCTTGTAATCAATTGTAGTTTGTGCATGAAAAGCTTCATCCTGCCTCACTGATTTAGCAATTTTAACTTTTACATCAATGACAATAGGATCAGACACTAGGAAAGGATTTCCCTGAAGAATAGGTGCTATTAGAAAATCAATGAAAGCTATTCTATACATCATACATCAAGCATGTGCTCACATTGAAAAACAACTTCACCTTTAACAACATTGTCTCACATGTTCGATCAATTTTATATCCCTCTGCAGGGTGGTATCCTCCTCCCCTCCCATGGCCCACACGCCCATCCTCCCCAAGAGATGGAAAATAATGTTGTTCTGGATTATGTGACCACTCATAGTTCAGAAAATTAAAGTAGGAGTATATGAAAATGCAAAGAGAAAGCTTGTTTATTGGTGTTATCACCCCTCCCTCCCTAATATTTATTTTTAGTCTGTGATACAAATGCATAATTTTACACCACAATCATATATTGGAATTTTGCTTAAAAGTATATTGTTATCTGATCCAATGCTTCTAAGTGAGCTCCTTTTTAGATACACTGTATGACTGTATGGGACTTTAGGCAACAACTCAAAAATGTCCCTTAAAAATAGGATGTATGATCATTTGGGCTTTCTTCAGTCTGATTCTGCCTTATATCAGATTTCAATAACCAGTGTTGATTTTGGTTTTTTTAAGTGCAGAGCTGTGGATTCTCATATTCAGTCTAGACATGACTAGGAGAGCTGGCACTGAGTAAATATTTACCAAATCCACCCTTGTTCTGAGAATTATTATCATAACAATGACAGGATATTAAAAGACAACTATTCCCAGTCACTGATCCATTAGTTTCTGTTACAGTGGTGGGCAATAAACAGCCCATGGGCCAGACACAGTTCACCAGGGTTAGCCCCTGGTGGAGTGCCAGATGCTTTATTTACCTGAGAATCCACAGGTAGGGCTGCTCACAGTTTGCGG